AAAAACAGTGGGAAGAAAGAGGTAGGAAGGCAGTACCAGCTCTCAAACTATACTACAAAGCAGTAATTATCAAAACTATTTGGCACTGGTGGCACAGTGGATAGAACACTGGGCTTGGAATCAGAAAGACTCATCTTCCCGAGCTCAAATCTGGCCTCAGACACTTACTAGCTTGGTGACCCTGGGCAAGTCACTTCACTCTGTTTGCCTCAGTTTCCTCATCTGTAAAATGAGTTGAATAAGGAAATGGCAAACCACTCTAGGACCTTTACCAAGAAAATCCCAAATGGGGTCACAAAGAGTCAGGCACGACTAAAATGACTGAACAGCAACAACTGTGCCGGCCGCGCCGTGCACTCTCCTCCTATAAGGAGCAGGCTGCCAGAGTCATACTTACCAGTCTTCGGTACCCAACCAGATAAACACAGAGACGAGCCTACCAGGAGGTGCCAACACCAGAGCTTTATTCAGAGGCCATCACAGCAAGGCCAAGCAGGAAAGCCAGAGCAAGAGAGCAGGAGCAAAGAGAGCACGTGATCCGACCACGATCGTTCCTTAAGTACCTACCAAGCCCCTCCTCCTCAGCCTGCCTACTAGTCAATGATTGTAGGGTCAGATACCGGAAGGGGATGTCTGAGTTTAGCGCACCAAGGCGGAGGGAGTGACGCAGGAGGCTAGGACCGGATACAGGAAGGAGACGTCTGGGATTAGTGCATAGACAAAGAGTACGTGACCTAGGAAGTCAGGCCCAGATACCGGCAGGAGGCGTCTGGGGTCAGTGCTACACAAAGGGAAGGTACGTGACCCAGGAAGTCAGGAAGGACACAGGAAGGAGGCGTCTGGGGTTGACGTTGCATTTAGGGAGGGGACTAAGCAAAGGGAACTCGTCCTCTGCCGTCCCACTCCCACGTGGCACAGCCCCCTGCCTCAGGAGCACATGCTCCGGCTACTTCCTTGTATTCTGTTCCTTCCCCAGCTTATCCACATAGCACTGCCCACTGCCTCAGGACTTCTCCGTATCCAGCCCATCCCAGTTCACCACAACTCCGCCTACCACAGCCCCTGCCTCGGGAGCGTGAGCTCTGGTTACTTCCCAATACCCAGTTCCTACCCCCTCTTGCCACAACTTCCACCCGGCAGCAGCCAACATCAGACAGTCCCTCACAAACAACAACAAAAAAGAGATCAAACAATGTACCCAAACAGGTACCCAAACATACAGACGAAAATGAACATAATAACATAATATTCTACAAACCCAAAGACCATAATTATTGAGTAAAAGACAAAAACTGCTGGGAAAACTTTGAAGACAGTCTAGAAAATAATAGGTACAGACCAACATCTCACACCATATATAAAGAAGTATTCCCAATACATACATGATTTAACCATGAAAGGTCATATAGAGAAGCCGTAAGGAAAACTACTTTTTCTGAACTATGGATGAGAAAGAGTTCACAACCAAAGAAGGGACAAAAAGGATTAGAGAACATAAAGGGGACAGTTATGACTACATAAAATTTTAAAGTTTTTGTACAAATGAAACTATGAAGTTCAAATTACAAGAGAAAGCTAAATGGGAAAAAAATCTTTGCATCAAGTTTCTCTAATAAAAATCTCATATCCAAGATATATAAAGAGTTGATTTAATTTATGAGAGTCATTCCTCAACTGATAAATGGTCAAAGAAATCTAACCTATCAACAACCACATGGGTGGAAAAAATACTCCAAATCTCTAATAATTAGAGAAATACACATTAAATTACCTACAAGAGTCTATGTCATATGCATCAGACTGGCAAAGATGACAAAACAGAAAAATAGCAATTGTTGAAAATGGGCACATTAATGTATTTGTGTCTAGCAGTTCTGGAAAGAAATTTAGAACGAAGCCCCCAAACCTCTAAATCGTCCATCCCCTTTGACTTAGCAACATGACTATGAGGTCCATACCCCAGAGATCAACATACATGTAGAAAAATATTTACAGTAGCTCTTTCTGTCGTAGCAAAGAACTCTAAACTAAGGAGGTACCGATCAATTAGGGAATGGCTGAACAAATTGTGGTATTTGGATGTAATGGAATACGCAACTCAAAAAATTATGAAATAGTTTCAAAGAAAACTTGGAAGTCCTATATGAAATCATGCAGTGAAGCAAGCAAAACTGGAAGAAAAACTCATACAATAGCACATTTTAAAAATAAACTTTGAAAGACGTAAGAATTCTAATCAGTACAATGACCAGCCATGATTGCAGAGGAGACATGAAGAAGCATGCTACCTGCATACTGAGAGAGATCACGGACTCAAAGTGTGGAATGAGACGTTTTCTGACGTAGCCGACGTGGGGATTTGTCTTGACGATTCAATTTTGTTACAAGTGCTTTTGTTTTTTTTTTTAACATTTTTTCCCCGGAGGGATGGGGAAGAGATCTACCCTACTAGTGAGAAAGGGAACTTTAAGAATTGGGCTCTTCCAATCCCCTCAAAAAGTGAACAGAAGGAACACCAGAAAACCACAAAGAAGCAGGACAACTTTGAGTATTATGTGTTAAAGTTTATTATATATGTAAAAGAAAGGCAAGCTCTATCTAATGGAGATTTTATACAATCCTCTACAATTCCACAAAGTATATCAAAGTGCTTTTTAAGTTCAGAGTTTAAAAATGAAAAAAATATTCTAGGGCAGCATATAAACTATTGAGAAAACACCAGTTTGGTTACTTTAATTCAATCTTAAATTGATATCCTAACCTGAAACAAAGGCACAAACTTGGAGATTATAAATTTTTTCTTAAGGGGAAAAAAAAAAGTATACTTGTGGAAGAATCTGGTTTTTGTTGTTGTTGTTTTGTTTTTTGATGAGGCAGTTGGGGCTAAATGACTTGCCAAAGGTCACACAACTAGAAAGTGTCAAGTATCTGAGGCCAGATTTGAACTCAGGTCCTCCTGACTCCAAGGCAGGAGCTCTATCCACTGTGCCACCTAGCTGCCCCCTACAATACTGCTTTTTGTTTTTTAGGCAATCAGGGTTAAGTGACTTGCCCAGGGTCACAGCTAGTAAGCGTCAAGTGTTTGGTCTGAGGCCGGATCTGAACTCAGGTCCTCCTGTCTTCAGGGCCGGTACTCTATCCACTGCACTACCTAGTTGCCCCTTACGTGGAGGAATCTGCATGGTCATATGAAAACCCCAAAAGTATCAAAGCATTCTGTGGTTTAAGGTTTAAATAATATGCTTTAAAGGATAACACATTGACTGTATAACCCTTGGCATGGCAATGGACAGCAGAAATCTGTCATCCCTTTCCCTTCCCTTTGGAATCCAGGACCCATCCAGGACAACAGAAAAACCCACTACCACCTAACTTCCTCCTGCTCCCTTGCCCAGTCCCCCAGAACCCATTCAGGGTTAGTGACATGGGAGTCACCACCTCCATTCTTCTTGGCAAGCTGGAAGACAAACAGACATTACCATCTGTCCTACCTCTACCTCCCACAGACACTTTTATTGACAAAACTTATGGGACCCTGAATCTTACATCTGCCCTGCCACTGAACCCTTAGGAAATCTGGATTTTTCCATCCACCCTGCAGTTAATATTCCATTTGTCGTCTCCTCTAATTAGAGTATAAATTCTTTGAAAACAGGGACCATTTAGCTTTTCATATTCGCACCATTAGCACTTAATATAGTACTTAACACATGGTAAGCAATTAATAAATGCTTTTTCATTCATTCATTCATTCATTCATGATCTAAACAACTCTCCAGGGTTATAAATTGCAGAGAAGATGCATTGTGAGAAGTTTTATCACTCAGAAATTCCCTACAAGAGCCAAAGGTGCAGTCCATGTTCCTATCCTACATAGGTATTGAGTGGGAGATTTAATCTACCAGGAAGTCATCCATATTCTGAACGATCTACGCGTGGGGAGCTGCCCTTCTGTGTTTGAGAGTTGGTAAAGAGGCCCAAGGGAAGACGGAATGAATTTCATAGCTGGCCTCCATCTTGTTGTTCCCACACTGCTTGGGAAACTCTCCCCTCTCTCACCCTTCTCCAGTCTCTTCTTCAAACGGGAAAACACACACTCACTAAGACTGAAGACTTCCAAAACGTTCAATGAGACAGTAAAGAGCTCATCAATAAACAAACAATTCATACAGAAGACAGGCACCTTTTTACCGAAAAAAAGCCTTTCCCCAAAAGGTTTTTTAAAATAGTTTCAGGGGCAGCTAAGCGGCGCAGTAGATAGAGCACTGGCCTTGGAGTCAAGAGGATCTGCGGTCAAATCCAGCCTCAGCACAGGTACAAAAATATGTATAGCAGCTCTTTGTGTGGTGGCAAAGAATTGGAAACTTGAGAGGATGCCCATTCATTACGGAATGGCTGAATAAGTTGTGGTACATAATGGAATACTGTCATTCTACAAGAAACAATGAGCAGGCAGACTTCAGAAAAACCTGGAAAGACTTGTATGGACCGATGCTGAGTGAAGTGAGCAGAACCAGAACGTTGTACACAATAACAGCCACATTGTGTGATGACTAACTGTGATAGACTTAACCCTTCTCAGCAATGCAAGGATCTAAGACACCTCCAAAGGCCTTGTGATGGAAAATGCTATCCAAATCCAGAGAAAGAACTATGGATGCAGATTGAAGCATACTATTTGCTTTTTTTTTTCTGTTTTGTTTCTTCTTTCTTGTGGATCCTCCTATTGGTTCTAATTCTTCTTTATAACATGACTAACGTGAAAATATGTTTAATAGGAATGTATATGTAAAGCCTATAGCAGATTGCATGCCATATTGGAGAAGGAGTGGGGGAGGAAGGGAGAGAAAATTTAAAACTCAAAAGCTTATGGAAGTGAATGCTGAAAACTAAAAACAAATTAATTAATTTTTTAAAAAATCCAGCTTCAGACACATAACTGAGTGACTCTGGGCAAGTCACTTAACCCCAATTGCCTCACCAAAAAACAAATAAATAAATACAGTTTTAAATCCAACTTTATTTCATGATGAATTTACAACCCCAATGCAAATACCTAACCTAAGCAGACAAAACAATTTATGGAAAATAAAAACTCACACAATATGTAGATATTTTAATATTTTTGGTGTTTGACACCGAATCCCTTTTACAAAAATCAGTGCATTTGAAAGAGTCAATCCATTAAACTCTCACCCTGACGCTAAAATGAATAGTAAGATTACAAGATAAAAAAATCTCAAGACAAATAACACCAAAACTATAAAGCAATGAATTTTTTAAAAAGGATATCTTAATGAGATATTCTTGAAACCCACTAAAGTAAAATGCTACATATGCTAAGCAAACATTTTACTTCCTTAGATGATAGGAAAACATGTTAATCATACACACACCTAACATGAATGTGTGCAGATTTTTAAAATCTCGATCTTACAGAGAACAAAATATAAATAAGTATTGAAGTGCTTTTTTAAAGGAGTTTCTATCATCACCTGGATCACTAAAGAGAAACAATGCTTGGAAAAGAAACTGATCAGTTTTGTGGGTAATTTCTTGCAAAGGAAAACAATACTTTAAAAAAATCTTCAGGGAAAAACTGGCAAAAGCAAAGCAAATTAAAGTGAGAACTTAGAGCTCTCAAAGTAAATGGAAATGTGCAGATGCAAACAGTCTTCTCCCTCACTCATTAAATTCTAACTAACTATCCAATCACTTTAAGTATCTTCAAGCTAGAAAGACCATCTGTGGTGGAGTCAGATGTCCTCCCCCAACATCTATGACTACGTGTGTGGGGTTAAACCTGGCCTACATGAAGCAGAAAATTATCTATAGTGAGTAAGTCCTCTGAATTACTTAAGGGTCATTACATCTTAAACAATTCAATATCTATAATAATCATCTCCTCTTCTGAAGGGGTAGATGAGATAGAAAGTAGGAGGCCTCTATCCATGGGCTCCATACGACCAGCTTATACTCATCAAACAACTAGATCTCAAAACATTTTGTCTTAAATCCTCGACATTCCTATGAACATGAAAGATGGGAAGAAATCTCCCCCATGCTACAGATGAAGAAACAAAATTACAGAAGAGATCAAGTAAATTACACAAGATGACTTTCCATCTGTCAGTGGCCAAACTTGGGAGCAGACCCATCTGCTTGTTGAAACCCAACAGCCTCATAGACAACACAATAATAAATACCAATGATGTGATGAGATACTGAACCTTATTTCGCTTTACTTAAAATATAAATTAGGGGACAGAGGAGAGAGATACAGAAGAAATTTTTTTAAATGAATGGGGACCATCGTATTATGGATTCCTGATGTTAGGGTTTAAAGCTGCCCTGGTTCACACTCAGATCAGTGTTTTTGTGATGCAATTTCATAAAGGTTTCCATAGTTACAAGATGCTAAAATGTGGTCATCATCTTTTACACATATTTTCTAAAGAAAAAATATTGCAGAGTTCATGCGTGGTTCATATTTTTTGTTGTAGTTACAGCAGAGACGAAAATGCACAAAACTGAAGTATTTGGAATCATTTGGCTGCCAACTGTCTTCTGTAATATTACAAAGTGCTCAAAAATTCCTTGACCTGGGGGGAAAAAAGAAGCATGTTCATAAAATGTTAGATCCCTCAAAGTCTTCCATTTACATTTTCATAAATCTACTTCCTAACTGGACCTTAAAATAGGCATATTACTTAATTCATTGTGAGATCTTGGAAATTCTGAGTTACAATACTATCATTTTAATCTAAAACTTATTAGAAGCCAAATATAGCCTTCAGTCTGTGAGACTGTCATGGCTTATAAACATGCTTGCATTCCAAGAAACAGAGGTAATGAGACAATTAAGAATAGAAAAGGATAAGTGAAGCTAGCTCCTACTTAACCAGGAGAATTTTATCACATTTGCTCCTCAATATCTTAACAAGATCATAAAACCCAAGAGTGGCCTGGGGCTTGAGCTTGGACCTGTGAGGATTTGCTGTCATTCCAAGTGACAAACTCCAAAAGTTAAGAATGTAGAAACTATGGCGGACTGAAAACAGTATAATTTAATAACAAGGGCTATAGGAATCACCAAGACTTTGCTGGGCTTTGGATTTTTCACAAAGTAAAGAAAGCAACAGACTGACACTCCTATCTTCTGTCTCTCTCCTTCGCATTACAATGGGCTGCTATGATCTCAGCTCAGTACTTCCTTACTCAGATCAAAAGCCTTCACCCCTACAGAGGACAGAAAAGGGCAAGAGAACCTGGAGACAGTGAAAAATGATCCCTCTCCTATGAAAACCAAGAGCATCTTGTTTTTACTACTAAGTATCTCATACTGTCTTATATGCGTTATATTTATGTGACTCTACTCAAGTTATTTGTAAAATCAATTTATTCTTACAGATATGTATATTAAGAACTGACCAGGGGCAGCTAGGTGGCGCAGTGGATAGAGCACCAGCCCTGAAGTCAGGAGGACCCGAGATCAAATCCGGCCCCAGACCAAACACTTGACACTTACTAGCTGTGTGACCCTGGGCAAGTCACTTAACCCCAATTGCCTCAAAAAAAAATTAAATTAAATTTTAAAAAAAGGCAAATATAAAAACTGACCATGGGGCAGCTAGGTGGTACAGTAGATAGAGCTCCAGTCTTGGAGTCAGGAGGACCTGAGTTCAAATCCAGCCTCAGACACATGACACTTACTAGCTGTGTTACCCTGGGCACAGGGTAACCCTGCTTGCCTTACCAAAAAAAAAAAAAAAAAAAGAATTGACCAGAAACATCACATTAAGCATGAAAAGCAATTATTAGAATTAAAGAAAAAAGTACTTCTCTAGAAATAACTTAAATGTGCAACAGTTTATTTTCCACTGAAATTAATCTCTCCTCATTTATGTCTACTCTGCTTTCACTAGAAAGTGATCTTATGCTAAGAAATCACAGTAGATTTCTTTCTTCTTGGAACAAGTTAGGTTTTCTGAAATATAGGTCAAGAACTGGTCTGGTCACGGTCAGGGCTTCCTTTCATCATTTGGGAACTCTCCCCTTCCGTAGTACACATTGCCAGCCCCTCTTTGCAGGTTTTGTGAGTTGCCTGGGCCTCTGAGAGGTGCAGTAACTGGCCCAGGTCACACAGCTGGTACATGACTGAAGCAAGACTTAAACCCAGGTCTCTCCCAGAGTCCCCAGCTAGCTGTCTATTCACCTGGTCATGCTGCCTGTCAAGGTTGGGTGACAAGAAGGAAGCTGAGAGCATTCAGGCTAAAGGACCTGACAATTAAGAGAGGGACAAGATGAAACAGAAAAGGAGAGCGAGGGCCATGCACACAATGGAGCTAATAGAGGGAAAAACTTGGATGGCAAGGGCATCGGAGAGACATTCTCTCCAGTATTTCATCCACTAAATGGTACTGCCCCTGGCTGAGCACTGGCCAATTTTTAGATTACCACGAGCCAAATTAAAATCTTTCCTAGTCATATTCGCTTTAAAACAAAGCAAAACAAAAAACCTCTTTGCCTGTACTCACAAAATAAACTCACATTTATGTGTTGGCAATTCTTTTAAAAAATAGAATTGATACAATTACGTCAATGAAGCAAACTAACAGTCTACAGCATATTCATTAAATAGTTTTTACATATTCCAGGCATATTAACATTTCCCTTTACTATCTCTTATGTTAGCCAAGAATATAAATAGGAAATTATAATATCGATTAACTTTATTCACTTCTCTCCAGTTGTGAAAATCTACTTCAAGTATTAAACAAGGCTGTTGCAAAGATTAAAAAGAAAAACTGATGGAATCATGTGCCAGGTTTCCAAAAGCTAAAATTTTCGTAAGCATGCTGCTAAAATCCAAAAATATGTTTGTCTCACTTAAATAACATTTTAAAAAATGTGCTTATCCTTTTGCTACAATGATATATAAATATTATTCAATTTTGAATTATGGTTTTATTTGCACACATAGTAAATTTAATTTTAACTTTTGAAATTAAACACAATGATTTATTTTAAAATATATAATTGGTTGAGATCCCAAAGTCTGCAAAGTAGCTACCATATAACCACAGCAACTACTTCCCCAGGGATACTAATCAAACTTTAGTGCTGAATGATGACATACTTAGAATGGCATTCATAGGATCTGTAAACTTGTTCCCAAACATCTTATAATACTAGTTATATGATCTAGAGAAAATTTTTCACTGTTTCAAAACAGATATTTAAACTTAATTTCAATATTAAACAGTGGATCAAGTGCTTTGTGACTGGGAAAAGAATAAAGCCTCTTCAAAAAGAAAGAAAAATATGGCCTCTTCTCTCTCTCTTGGCTTCCCTGGCTTCCTTGGGGTTCCAGCTAACGTCCTCCCTTCTATAGGAAGCCTAGCTCAATCCCTCTTAATTTGAGTGCTTTGCCTCCATGAATCATTTCCTATTCTGTATATGGCTCATTTGTACATAGTTGTTTGTTTGCATATCGTCTCCCCTATTAAACTGTGGGATCCTGAGGAGTCTTTCTTTGTATGTTCAGCACTTAGCACAGGGTCTGTCATGTCATTGTTCAGTCATGTCTGACCATAGCACGCCAATAGTGTCCATAGGGTTTTCTTGGCAAAGATGCTCGACCGATTTGCCATTTCTTTGGCAAATTTCTTTGGTCCAGTGGATTAAGGCAAGCTGAAGTTACACAGTGAGTAAAGGTCTGAGATCAAATTTGAACTCAAGTCTTCCAGACTCCAGGCCCAGCGTTCTACCCACTTAGCTACCTAGCTGTCTTGTACCTAACACATAGTAGGTGCTTAATAAATGCTTATTGTCTAACAGACTGACCAATAGAACCAATTCAGAGGAAAAAGAGAAATTCCTTTAGCAGTCTCTCTCTCAATTATTACTGTCTAGGTTGAATAAGAATAACCATTGTCCATTAAAAGTCTTGCCCACTGTATCTCCTCAATTCAAAAAAATCTATTAAGCACCTACTATAAGCAAGGCATTGTACAAAGGACTACAGAGAGAAAGACAATAATGCCTTTGAAGAAGCTTACATTTTACTGGGGCGATATACTAGAATATTATAATTTCTTTATGAAAATTGATTTTTTGGGGGGGGTACTGAACTGTAATTTCATTGCTGGAGTTCCTAGTAAAGAAACTTCTCTTGACCAACAAAAATTTAAAACTGTTCAGCAATTTATAGCCCTGGACAGTTGCCTGGAACACTAAGAAGTTAAGTGAATGGACCAGGGTCACACAGTCATAGGATGAATTTAATGCTGAATTTAATTAAGAAAATCCTATTTTCCCAATGATATCCATTTTAAAATTGCATCTCTCCCAACAGACTAAAGTGAAGTTTTCTGGTAAGGAATAGAGAAACAGAAACCAAACCTGTGGACCATTAATAGAGCATTCTTCCTTTGCTAAGTAAGCCTCCTTGTTTCTAGGGTCTCGTTTTCTGCAACTACAGTCCCCCGGGGGCCCAGAAGCGAAGAAAGGAATGCATGCCATGAGATCCCAGCACTATATTCAAGTCTGCCAAAATTCTGTCCCCTCCTTCTTCAGTGTATGGAATGGCAGCACACAAGTGAGAGTGGTACAAGTCAAACAAAGAACTAAAAACGTCAATACTAGATAAATTAGAATGCAAATTAATTTTGCATCAGGGAATCTGTAAATTTAATAATGTCCTAATGAACTCATGGGTACCTGTAATCTCATAGTTAATTTACTGTGGAAGTCATATTCTTAACATTTTCCATTATTATTAACACTAAATCAATTTAATCTTGAGTAATTTCTTCTTTAATCCACAATGAAAAATAAATATGATTTCCAGTTAAGATAAAAATGAGCTGAAAAGGTGATATTCCTTGTCATAATTTACCTTTTCAATGAGATTTTCATGTTTGTCCTTAAAATCTTCATTAACGTCCAGTGTTAAGATGGGTATCTCTTGTAGATAATCAAAGCTGGTTCTGTTTTAAAAAAACATATTTTTAAAAAGGAATTAGAAAAGCAAAACCTATTCAAGACGGGAAGAATATTATGAACAAAGTAAGGAGTGTGAAGGATGTAGGGGTGTGTGCTCAGGGAACATCGAGTAGTTCAATTTGGCTGGGGTCCAGGGCACACGAAAAGCATGCTGAAGTCAAATTGTACATGACATGGCATTGAATTGCAAGCAAAGGAGTCTGGCCTTAGTTTGGCACATACAACTGAGCCAGCAAAGACTTCCGATCAACGGGAGTGGAGATGACAAGACCAGAACTATGCTTTAGGCAGATTAATCAGGCAGCAGTATGCAGGACAAATTGAGTGGGGGATACTGAAGGCAGAAAGGCTACTGAAAAGAGTTCAGGCAAGAGATAAGCTGGGACTGGAAAAGGAAGTGGTAGTGGGTCTGGCGAAGAAGACATGATCATTTGAAATTATTGGACTTAGTTAATTAAATAGGGGGAAGTTTGAGAGATGGGAGAATTTAAAAAGACTAAGATTTTTATTTTGAGTTCTTGTAAGAATGCATCATAGATAATAGATTTTAGGGCTATAAGTGACCTTAGAACTCATCTAGTTCATTTTTTTTGTGGTGACAAATTGGAAATTGAGGGGATGCCCATCAATGGGGGATGGCTAAATAAGGTGTGGCACATAATTGTGATAGGGTACTACTGTGCTGTTAAGAAATGACTAGGGGGATGGTTTCAGGAAAACATGGGAAAATCTACATGCACTGATGCAAAGTGAAGTGAGCAGAACCAGGAGATCATTGTGCACAGTAATAACAACATTATAGTGATGACCAACTGTGAAAGACTTAGCTATTCTAATGAATACAGTGACCCAAAACAATTCCTAAGAATTCATGATAAAAAAATGCTATCTGCCTCCAAAGAGAGAACTGAAGAACTCTGAGGACAAATTGAAGTGTAATTTTCTCACTTACATTTCTTTTGGGCGATACAGCCAATAAGGAAATATGTTTTGCATGATTTTACATGCATAATTGATAAGATATTGTAAGGAGAGAGAGAACTTGGAACTCATTTTTTTTTAAAGAATGCTAAAAATAAATACTTTTGGAGGAAAAAAAAAAAGGTTATGAAGGAAAGCCTCTTCTCACTCCATCAGAAAGAACACTGGGAGTCATGAGTCTTCAATTCTCGTCACAACTCTACAACTACAGAAAAGTCACTGAAATCAGTTATTCACTCCCTTTGTGAAAAGAAGCTAATCATATCCCCACTACCTTATGTTGCAAAGACAGAATGGGATACATTGAGAAAGACTTCAGAAAAGGTAAACAAAAACATTCTTTTTAGTATAAAATACTATCTCCATTTTAATTATTTCTGTGATTCCATAATTTACACACTTTGCTTCATAGGTCTGCCAGTCTATAGGATACATGGGTGTTGGAGAAGTGTGAAAAAGAAATATACCTAGACATACAAAATATTCCTGAAAAACATCCATAGGGGGAAATTCCTTATCTTGATTCAATTAACTTTACATAATAAATCTTCTTTTCTTATGAAATATGGTAGACCCCAAGGCATCCTTGTTATTTCACAAATGAAACTAGTTAAGACCATGCCCTACTCTGAATCACTGCATTTATATCTTCAGTAGCTAGCACATGAGGCAGTGTGGTATACTGGAAAGCAGACCGGATTTGGAGTCAAGGGACCTGCTTTTAAATCCCAGCTCTACATATAGTAATCTCCATTGTGGTGGCCATAAATTTCTTTGGATGCTAGTGTTTTCCTTTGTAAAATTAGGGCATTGAACTCTGAGCACATACTCTATGGAGAGCAAAAACAGAAAGACTCATACGTACCAAATTATTCATAGTGACACTTTTTGTAGTAGCAAAAAAATTGGAGATAAAATGAACAAACTGTGTTATGTAAATATAATGGCACATCACTGTGGTGGAAGCAGTGAAAAATACGAGGAATTCATAGAAGTATGGGAAGACCTATAGGCACTATCACAGAAAGAAAATAAGGAAAATAAGTTATTGATGACTACAATATTGCAAATGAAAAGAACACTAAAATGAAACCAAATACTCTGTAATCAGAGTCTTGGCTCTAGAAGAATGATAAGGAGATGTACTTTCTTCCTTTCATTGGAGAGTTTGGATGCAGAATGGTACATGGTTATCAGACATAGTTACTTGGGTTTGCTTAACTGTTTTTTCTTGGCTGACAGAGAAGGTTCACTGTGTGTTTGGGGCTGGGATAGAAGGAAGAAGTAGTAAATGACTACAATGCAAAAACAAAAGGTATCAGTAAAACTTTTTTAGGTGCCATCTTATGATTTTATTAGTGATGGAAACTCCCAATGAAGAAACCTCACTAGCAAAGATGATGGACAACTATCGTAAAACTGACGGGCTTCCATTGCCTCATCCATAAAATGAGGCGGTTGGACTTGATGGCTCGAGGCTAAGGTATCTTTCAGCTCTAAATCTATGATCTTGACAGTTGCTTGGAGCCCTGAGAAGTTAAGTGACTTGGCCAGAGTCACCTAACCAGTTGGAGACTTGAAAACAGTTCTTTCTGACTGAGCCCAGCTCTTTATCCACTATTTCACAATGACTCTCATTATTCAAGACATTTTAAAAATAAAAATAAATAAAACTGAGGGGTGGAGGGTGGGGGTTTGATTAAGGAGATATAATGTCTTATTTAGCCTTAAATCCAGGATTCTCTGGTCCAAATTGGTAAGGTTGGGCAGCTGGGTACATAGGAACTTTTTTCCAGGAGTTAAAAGTTGGTAGTATTCTGCTGTCCACAGACTTATAACACGCATAATAAAAATGGCAAGTAGATTTTCATTCATCTTCCTGTCACTAATGAGACTCTGCAGTCCCCCATTCATGCATCAATGCCCTCTCCAAACAGCGTGCCATCATCCAGCTCCCTCAGGACGTCAATCTCTTCTCACACCTCTCCACACTTTATGAACAAAAAGTTTGGAGCTGGAATCCTGCTACATCACTTTTGAAAGCCTGCCAACTTCTGGTATGATACAGTGCCTGAAATCTTGTTGCTATAATCGAATAAATCTATTATTTGTTACCCTAAGATTCTCCTAGAAAGGAGGTACCTTAGACAATTCACACCAATGCCATTCCCTTATCTGTTCATGGAGATATCTGTATTTGTTTGTTCTTATGAATGGGAATGATAAGGAAATAGCTATCTGTTAAAACATCCTGCTATCATCCTAGGTACTGTCTCAATCATCCATGAGCGCCAAAACAAAAAAAAAAAAAAAAAAGTCCTGATTCTACATGCTGCCACTTATCACCTGCCAGGTTTCAGATTAAAATCTAGAAAACAAACCATTTGAAGATACATGTGGAACATAATTTTTCAAAGTCTTACTTCAGTGTTCTATTCTGGAGCCAGCTTTCATGTTTATAGTGGAGCTTTTCTAAGTATTCAAGAGGAATTTCTTGTTCTTCTTCTCTTCCCCTCAAGTATATTCTATTTAAACATTTCTACAGGAATAAAAAAAACAAGGAAAAAATGTATTACTTTTCACTACCTGCTAATTTTAAAACATAAAGATCAAGCAAACATCTTTCTGGTGTTTTTAGGTTCCATCTTAAGCAAAATTCCTATATATTTACTTTTAGAAAATTTGCTAATTAGCCAAAAGGAATTATTTTTATCATTTACAGTTTTTAGTTGGTTTTTGGTTTTGGGGGGGGGGTGTTTTTTTACAATCAATCTGGTGAACACCAAAGTTTGGCTTTCCCACTGAATTTCATAAAAGAAGAAAAAATTAATGATGTAATTGCAATTCTGCCATTTATCATGGGGCTTGGATAACATACTCTTAAATCATTTGTGGTTTTAAAGTCTTGTGAATATATTACATTAAAAGTACTGCAAGACCTAAAAGATCACAGCCAAATAAATGAGTTATGGCATAACCTGGTTTTTTTCTTTATTCATAACAATAAAGTGACCATTAAAGAACAGATTCAGTTTGTAGTATATTATCCTGTTTCTCTCATAATTTTCCTCAGACATATAATGGCTCAAAATCAAGCATCGATTTCATGGGTCAAAACCTGAGATAAATCCAGAATATGTTATATCAAGTTACTACCAAAATAACCCTCTAAAATTGTATCCAATTTAAAATTGTTTAATGCTAAATGGTATACTCCTATGTCCACGCAAAGCCCACTTTTATGTTATCTAAATCTGATATAGTGAAGTGTGCATCAGATTTTGATAAAACTACCTAAAGGGCATGAGTTAAGACATTAGCACTTAGTAGTAGTATTTATCAAAAGGTGCCTTTAAAGTCATGGAAGACTAAGTAATTGAAAAGCCAATAAAGGTCCCAGTGAACAGATGAGAAACATACCTCCTCCCTCTTGGCAGAGAAGAAAAGGATTCATGGGACAGAATATCGTATATTGTTAGACACAGTGCACTAAAAGTTTTTGCTTAATTGTTTCCATTTTCACAAGGCTAGGAAAAGGGGAAAGAGGAGAAATGCCGTGCTATAAAGATAAAAGGCATCAATGACGCCTATCTTTCAAAAGAAAAATTCACAGGCGAAGACAATTTTGGAGGCAGAGGACCAGAGCTCAAGAACTTCAATATCACATACACAAGTGACTTTACCTCTCTTGTCCTCAGTTTCTTCATCTATAAAATAAAAGGGTTGGACTAGAAGGACTGTAAGGTGTCTTTCAGGTCTAAATCTGCTAGAAATCGAGGTTCTGTTTTCTTTAACAAAATTATTATATTCATACAGTACTGAAAGAGCCAGTGAGCTCCCTTTATGGTCAGGATGCATAATATTTCTGCTTGTCAAAAACCTAGTTTTGGGGACAGGGAACAGATCGGGGTAGGAAGAGAGACAACAAAACCATAATTCTTTTCCTTAAATAGAAAGCAGCAAATTACTGAGGTTAGAGCCCTTCTAGTGTCCTATTTATAGTTACACACATAACAAGAATGGGGGGGAGGGGAGGGAAGGGTAACAGCTGTGATACCAAAGTCACACTAAAAGTGGCTCCTCCCATGATTATGAAGTCATTTCCTGGCTGCCCTCCTTTCTTTAGCAGCCACTTCATATTCTCTCCCATACCCCAGACAATCCCACTTACCAGAAGCCCATGCTCCCCACCCAAGCTCTTTTGGAAAGGTCCCTCTATCTTGGTCATTCCTGAGGTCTAGGAGCCATGCAGGGGCTCCAGGGCTGATGAGCTGGTCATGGGATTTCCCCTAGGACAAACTCCTGAGCATCAGCACCAATGGGCCTAGAAGCCTGAAAAGGTCAGGCAAAGTTGGGAGATGGGAATGGAATGAGGGAAGAGGAGAGAGACAAGAGTCTGGGAGGAAGAAAGAGCCGGCAGTGTGTAAAAAAAAAAAAAAAAAAAGACAAAGTTCAACAACCCGGTCGGAAGACGTGCCAAACCTGGGATTTTAGTTTTGTCAAAGAAAATGACACTGTTTCCCTCAAAGAATTTCACCTGTTTTCTGAAAAGATTGGAAAATTAGGACGCATAATCCTCACTGTATGCCACTAAATGGAATAACAAATGATAAAACACTGCTGCTGTTCAGTCATGTCTGACTCTTCGTGCCCCATTTGGAGTTTTCTCGGCAAAGATACTGGACTGGTTTGTCATTTCCTTTTCCAGCTCATTTTACAGGTGAGGAAACTGAGGCAAACAGGGTGAAGTGACTTGTCCAGGGTCATACAGCTAGTCACTGTCTGAGGCCAGATTTGAACTCAGGAAGATGAGTCTTCTTGACTTCAGGCCTGATGCTCTATGCAACTACTCCGGTAAAACACACTAGAATTCAAAAGATTTATAACACATAAAAAAGCTTTTCTATATCTCACCTCCGGAATGGCTCGAAGATAAATTATTCCATTCAGTTCAAGGCTCTGGCCAAATTGGTTATTCATCCAGTCATGCCAGTCTTGATAAATTGTCCATTCTGTTTCATTCATGCAATCAGACTCATATAAATTAGACGCAAAAATATACCTGAAAGACAATATGGATACATATCAACATATTTCTCTGTGATGAAAGTCAGCTGCCAATCGCTTTCTAGGATGTGAACAAAAAGGGGTAAGAAGGAATGGCCAGGCAGGCAATCCAGGCATGCTCCAATATGCCTGGTTGAAACCTCAAAGTCAGGGAGAGCCCGGTACTATTCAAATAATCAAGAACAGGAAAGGCAGACTTACTACAACCCTAGGAAATCTGCTTAGGAAGGATTTGGAGAGTCAGAGAACCTGTTAGTTCTTTGACGAGGGCAGGGTTCTGATTTGCAAAAATAATCTCGGTTCAAAATAAACAAAAGCAGATCAGAATTCTGAGATGGAGGAGGGCGATGCAGAACTCTCTCCAAAAAAAAAAAAAAAAGCCTACACCGGGGCGGGGGTCCGGCCCTGGGTTGCGCGGGGGGGGGGGGGGGGGGGCGGGCGGTGAGGGGGGTGCTATCCACCATGGATCCTTATTAGCACCAAGTGCTCTCATCATTCATTACCTCTGCATGCCCAATTTACCCCAAGTACTTATATGGCTTGTGTCTCAAAGAAGCTGCACAAACAAACTGACGTGTATCCAAGGCTAATGAAGCAAGCAGCATACCTGTCACTATAGACGGAGCGCTCAAAGAACACCACCGGCCTCTCAGCCTCTTTGAGCTTCCCATTGACAGCAGAGAGCTGAGCGCGTATTCTGCTCAGGCAGGCATAGGTCTGGAAGGTGAACGACCATCGTTCTGGTTTTTCATACATCATCTGAAGCACATTGCCACCACTTTTCTGAGAAGTCGTCAGTTCCTATTTTAAAACAAGAAACTAAATTGAGCAGGCTTTGAAAATTAAAATTTTCTCCAAAAACAAAAGAACAAAATTGTTTTTTGTTATCAACGCTAAAGCAGTTAAATTCTCACTCTGTAATCTCATCCACTAGAGTTCCCTAAGCTAATGCTACCAATTCCTGAGACTACAGCACACAAGGTAAATAAAAATCCATTTCCCCCATCAACAAACATGTTTAGTCATTCATTCTTTCAGTAAAAATTGAATAAGCATCTGTTCTGTAAAAGACACTCAGTTAAGCACTGGAGATACAAAGACAACAGGTCCTACCCTCAAAGAACTTACATGTATTGGGGGGAAATTACAAGTATACTGCCCAGTAAATACAAAACACACAAAGTATACACAAAGTAATGCTGGGGGCAGGAAGCCACGGTAAGCCTTGAAGGAAACACTATTCTAAGAGGTAAAAGAGAATTAACCATGCAGGCACAAATGAACTGCAGATCCCACCCAAGTGGTTGGGCCCACAATGTCTGACGGGCCAAAGATCACCTCTTGCCCATCCCCCACGAAGGGGACGCTTGAGAAACCTGCAGATCAATGTCACTTGCCCACATGATGCTCCTACCCACATGTTCTTCTTATTGGCATTTATTCCAGGGGAGTGGCGACCTACCCTGTGTTCATGCACCCTTTATCACTGTCACTCAGAAAGTCCTTAAGGAATTCATTTCCAGCTTTGCATTACCATTGAATTTAGACAGTGATGAAGGCACACATTTCACAGGTCAGATGTTTAGGGACATCATGTAAGGCACTGAACACAGAAACAACTACATTACAACCACCACCCATAATCCCTGTAATCTGTCTAGGGAAGTTTAATGTAGGTATCCTGGATTTCCTGAGCAAGAGAGCAGTGTGTCACTCACTCAGGCCACCTGGCACCTCGTGTTAGCACAACAGCTGTACAATATTACTGCACCTTTTGTAGTCCTTTAGACTATCCAGCATTTATGCTGAAACCTCTACCAGGTGTCCAAGGAAGGAAGGAAGGGACAGAAGGAAGGAAATAAGGATTTATTAAGCACCTACTATGTGCCAGGTACTGTGCTAAGTGCTTTACAAATTTAATCTCATTTGATCCTCACAACACCCCTGGAAGGTAGGTGTTATTATTACCCCCATTTTACAGATGAGGAAACTGAGGCAGAGAGAGGTTAAATGACTTGTCCAAGGTCGCACAGCTAGTAGGTATCTGAAGCCATATTTGAACTTGCATCTTTCTGACTCCAGCCCCAGCACTGTACAGGACAAAAATACAGCAACTTCACTAGATCTAAAAATAGGATCACTGTGGACCAAAATAAAAAGATCTGTATTGTTAAGCTGCCCCTCATTAAAAGTAATATACAGTACTGATAAAAATTGAACAAACATACCTTGACAGCATGTAACACTAAAGATATAACTACAAAAAGTCAGGAGAAGGAAAACTAAAACGGCCAGGAAGTTGGAGAAGTTGGCATATGAGTACAGGCCAAAAAGAGTAAAGTCTTTCAATTTGGAAAGAGGGAGATTGAGAGGGAATACAGTTGAAATCCATAAGATCCTAATGGAATATGAACAAAGTGTAGAGCATTCAACGTCAAGCTCACTGATCTTAATCAAAACTTTCTCAGAGCCAAAAAAGATTGAACAGTTCAGCTCTTTCTCTGTTACCTGCCAACATTACTCAAATCAAAATGACTTTTATTGTCAAGCACTTTCTCCAAAGCTCTGCTCACTCTGGGTCTGATGATGCTGGATTTAGAATCAAAGGCCCTGGGTCTGAGCCCTGTGTGACCTGGGGGCTAGTTGTTTCCCCTTCCTGGACCTCAGCTTTCTTGGGTATAAAATGAGGGAGTTGAACTAGCCCAGAAAGACAGCTTTGAAAAGTACACTCTGAATTTATTAAATACAGTAAGCTAAAAACAAGTTGCACATAAAAGGATTTGCAGTTTCATCACAATCTCCTTTTTCAGCTGTTTCTGTATAAGGAATTTTTTAAATGCTCATTCAATTCAATTTTCTATAAGAGGTTTAATATCATAAATATGGATACTGTTCTTATCCTCTCTCTAGTTCATGTCCTCTTAGAAATCCTCTGTTGGAGGCCTTCCCTAGGTCTTTTACATTGAGGAGACACCAATGCAATATGTGCCTTTTCTTGTTATGATCGTCCCCTCTCTTTGTGAGCTCACAGGCCTCTTATTTCTTTCATGATACTTTTTGCCCAGCTGCTGATACAGAGGCTCTACACCCACCATATAGGTGATGACATGTGGTTCTCCACTGCCCTTCAGATAACTCACACTTTTGTTTTTTTCAGAGATTGTGGTAATCCATCAAATAAAGATGTGTGTGTGTCAATCTTCAAACATAAAAGTACGACTTTCTTCAGAAACTTCAATATGAGAAAAATCTACTTGTGAAAAACAGAAAACTGACATGTGAAAAAAAGCCTATAACCATTGTTTAAATAAAAATTTAAAGGTATTCATAAGGAAAACGGTAAGATAACTTTAAGTTTCCAGATTATAAAATAGAGGACTCCTTCACGAGGCAAAAGGCGTTCTGAGTCAGGTAGAAAGAAGATCCATGAAACCTTATATGGCTCCATTTTTACCAAGCAATTTGTGAGACCACAGCAGAGATAATACAGAAGGGCTTGGTGCTCCAAACAAAGACTAAGAATAGTCTGGGAGGGAAAGAAAAGTGCCAAGTGATAGAGGGGAGAAAAGTAACACCTCTATTTTGAAATCCTGAAAAGATCCTAAGGCACAACTTCAGAGTTGGAAGGACAAGTGTGTGTGTGTGTGTGCGTGCGTGCGTGCGTGTGTGTGTGTAAGAGAAAGCAAAAGTTTAGTCAGTCAGAGCTCCTAAGAAGAAAGTCAGTAACAAAAGCATCCAATTTGAATTCAGAGTTTTGAATTTATTTCAATCCTCACTCTGTTAGTAACACTGCATAAGTGGAAATTAGAATTAAATCAATAAATGGACTGTTTTCTTTATAAAGAACTCTATTTTTGGAAGTCAATCAACAAGCATAACATGCCTACTTCAGCCAAGCACAGTGCTAGGCATTAGCATACAAAGACAAAAATGTAACAGTACTTGCCATCAAGGAGCCTACATTTTAATAGATCAGTGGTTCACGTGATATGCCTACTTCTATTATCTGAGTCTAAAAAGAACCTATTTGACACAAACAACTGTCTAGAGTCCTCACTATTCATTCACTACCAGAAGTATAGGAAAAGTACTTAGCGGAATTCATTCATTTCCACATGGATAGCTTCATATCCTGCAACCCTCCATCTGTACATTACAAAACCATCAAATATATAGCGGTTTAGGCTATCTATATGCTACTTCCCTCTGAAAATAACTGAGAGCTGATTGATAGCACAGAAATTTAATCGTACTGATTTTTTAAAATGTGGACAATAAATGATCTTTAGGAATTTCCCCCTTTGCTATAGACTCTTGCAGCTCCAGATGAAACCTTGTAAAAAGACCAGATATCTGTCTACCTGTCAGTCAGTAAGAAAAAGTTAACGAGTGCCTTCAAAAGCCACTTGAAGAGGAGGTGCTCTGAACCAGTACTTAGATAAGCTCTCAGAGCTCATTTTCATAGGACAATGGGCTTCTTAGCAGCCCAGAAAGAGCTCAGCCTCCCTCTTTACACTGCTGCAGCTTCAGGAGCGATGTAGGTGTCCGAAGGAGTTGGAAAGAGAAACTCAAGATCAGCTTTCTTCCAACCAAGACATTCAGTGCAGTAGAAACAAACAAAGGCAAAGCATTCAACAATCTGTATACTAAGAACAGGATACACAATAAAGGTCCTCACTGACTTGTGCTTTGATCCTGAACAGTAACATAAATCATAAGTATGAGAGGAAAATAAACTTTTCACATAAACTTGGACAATGCCGTAAGGTTTGGCTACTGGTCCTGCCCAGAGCCGGGAAAGATGGTGCAAACAGACTGTCTGACCTTCCATTCTGTATCAAAATTAGTGGAAGCTACAGTGAGCACCTCACATTATTCCTGCCAACAGGGGGCAGGCAAAAGAACAAAGAAAATCAAGATACCCCTAAAAAGGAAGGGAAAAGCTTCTAGTCAGCCACTGTAAACGAAGGCCCTGCTTAATAAAAAGCAATGGTAGCTCTGTTTTCAGTCATTCAACAACCATTTATTAAGCAAGGCATTATGCTAAATGCCAATGATACAAGAATGAAAAAAAATCCCTGTTCTCAAGGAGCTTCCATTCTGCTGGAAATACAATGCACCCAGATAACTGAAGAGTAGCGCGTGACTCCCAAATCTCTATGCACACATAGCCACATACATCACATTACCATGTTCACCATCTCTATATCCTCTATCCCACATTGCCAACTGCTATTGATGGCTCCAGAGGAGAGACTGAGGCTGGTGACTTTGCACAGCTCTCCCTCACTTAAATCCAATTCACCCGCGTGTCACGGCACCTCCTCCCTGATGTCATGGTGCTCTTCAAGAAGGAAGGACAAACAGCAAGTACCAACTGCTATGGGAGTCATTTTTAACAGAATTGTCTTTCCTTCTAAACCCAGCTCTCTTCCATTTCATTTTGTGACAGTTCTCACTGATACGAACTTTTTCCTGACTACAAGCCTAAATTTGCCTCCCCTTTACTCTTGGTTTTGCCATTGAGAGTCAAACAGAACAGGTGTAATCCCTCTTCCACGTACCAGCCCTTCAAAAACTTGAAGACAGCTATCATTCCCCCACCACCCCACCTTCTCTTCTCCAGGATAAAGATCTCTAGTTCCTCTGATCCATTTTCATATGACATCACAACCCTTTCCCATCTTCGCTACTCTCCTTTGGATGCCCAAAGTTTAGAGTGTAGTCATTTAATTTTCTGTCTGCATTTTAAATACATAATTATTCCTGCCCTTCTCTCATACCAGAAGCTAAGATTTAGAAATAACTGTCTTTCAATGCTTTATCTTATTAAGACTTGAACAATAAGTTTCTGCCATCCATTTCTATTAACTGTGGCATGCCTTGCTTACTTTTAATCACATAAAAATTATTACTTAACAAATTTCCTGCATCTTCCAGAAAATCAGTATTTATGACAAAACAGAAATTTATAATGGAGAAATCATCAAAAGATTTGATTTTACTATTTAGGAAAAAACTAAATTTCATGGTTTTCCCCTCACTTTCCCTTCTGTAACATCATATGGGAAAAATGATTCACATGGAAAGAAGGAATTTCAACTTGAGTTCAAAAGGAAAGACCTTCTGACAATGATGAAAAACAACATATTAGTTATTGAAACAGGGTTGAAAAATAAGGTAAGAGGTTTGACTGTTGTTTAAAAACAAAACCCAACAAATATAAAAAGTCTCTCAGAACACTCAGCACTGAGCATGGTGGCTAGTACACAGAAGCTTAATAAATGCTGGTTGACTGACTTTATTTGGAGTTAAATTCTGTTTCACTGCAGAAAAATATCAGAAACAAGGAACAATAAAACATTGCTATAGCTTTGAACTCTAAGGTTGTAGTTTCATTTGAATGCAAACCAAAGAAACAATGAATCACCATATTCACCAAAGAGCAATGCACCATTTTCATACCTCAAATTCATCTTGAGTGCTCTGAACATTGCACCACCTGGCCACGGGTTCAGCAACCACTTCCCAATCATCAGAGACTTGCTTAAGGATATTTACAAATGTTGACTTCCCCGCAGCTGCCAAAAGGTAAAGGAATACAACAAGCAGAAAGAAGTGTTAAGAGCATTTATTAATCTTTATAAACTTGTTCTTAAAATAACATATGTTATAGCACACATTTTAAAAAACCATTTTCCAGAATCTTCTTTGGAGTTCTCAGTTTTTAAAAATGTAAGATAAATCTGTAATAAGATGATGAAGTTTTTTGTGGATTTCTAGTTTTGATTTTAAATGTAAAAGAACAAAAGAATGGGAAAAAAAGATCTGGCAGAAAGAGGGTGCTAGTCAGTCACAGATTTACCTTCTAAGTCTTAACAATTTAAGTTTGTGCCATTTGTTTATATTTTTAACTGTGACTCATACATAGCTATTTGGCCAAGAGGCCAAGTTCACTCCTCTGAATAAGTACTAAAGTAATTTCTAAAAAGGAAGATTTTGTTAACTCCAAAATCATTTACATATTTTTAATATTTTTATTGATGCCTTTTTATATCACAGATTTGCAAATATATATTTTCCCTCTCTCCCAGAGACCTCCCTTGAAGGGAAAAAAAAACAGGAAAAAAAGCAATTTTTCCAAACCAACATACTCTTGCTAATTCATCCAAACAATATCCTACATCCACAGTCACCCACATCAGAAATGAAGAGAGTGGGGGGTGGGGAGCTAGGTTGGGCAGTGGATGGAGCTCCAGCCCTGGAGTCAGGAGGACCCGAGTTCAAATCTGGCCTCAGACACATGACCCTTACTAGCTGTGTGATCCTGGGCAAGTCACTTAACCCCAATTGCCTCCCCAAAAAGAAAAAAAAAATGAAGGAAGTGCATGAATTTCCTAAACTCTTCTCTTGGGTCAAACTTGGTCCCGGATCATTATGCTTTAAGTAACTAAAAAGTCATTAAAAAGGAGAATTTCAGTAAATACTGTACTTCTCTCCACAAAGTCCTACTCCACTGACCAGGCTTCTCCAGGATTATGGCAAATGACACAAGCTCAGGCAGGTCCCACCATCCTATAGCAAGACTAAAAGCCTTTGTAGCAATACAGTATGTCTGATTTCCAAGAATCAACCCAGCTATGAATATAGAGATGTTCATCAGCAGGAACGTTAGCCACTTAGTAAGAATTCTGCAACCCATGACACAAAGCAAAATATAAAATAGCCCTGAGTCTTGTCTAGCCCCTCAGCTTCTCCCATAATGGGAGAACAGTGGTAGAGAAGGGAGCATTGAGTGAATTGCACAGTGTTTAGATCTTCTCTGAACAGTGTTGAGATTCTAAATGAGATCCATTTACAGCGACTAGTGTTACTGGATGAACTGAATTGTATCAGTCTTGACCTCAATATAAATGAAACCAGAAGACAAAATAAATTGTAACCAAATGAAAAGGTAGCCCACTCATTTGCCATATTGAAGTAAATAAAGAAGTTGATACAGTTGCTTCTATCATAGAATCAAAAGTAACAAAAAACATTTCATGGGACATTCAGGGATTTTTATGTTGATAAGGATTTAGAAAACTACTCCTACAAAAATGACTGCAGTTTATATACTATTTGTTGTACTAAGAATAAAGAGGTGCAGAAATTCCATGAAGATTTTAATAAAACACTCCAAATTAAATCAACATATATTTTAATATTGGGTGACTTCCATAGAAAGGTGAACATGGGGAGGTGGAGAGAACCAGTGAAAAACATGGTAAGAAATAAGTGAGGAATGAAGGGTCAAAGGATTGTAGATTTTACAGAAACCTCATGCCCTACACATAGCTTAGAATCAGAGCTTTAGAGTTGGAGAAAATGGTGGGTCATCATTTTACAGATTCGGAAACTATAGTCCCAGAAGATTAAGTGACCTACCTAAGGTCACCAAGTATTAAACAGCAGTCTTCTAAAGAACTTTTGCCACACGAGGCAGAAGAGATACGATGATAGTTAATAAGGATAGAAGGATCAAGTGGGGAAATAGGGGCATTTTTGCAGCAATAGGAGAAATACGTTTTGCTTAACTAAACGTATTTGTAAGAGGGGTTTTGTTTTCCTTTCATTCTCAATCTGGGGATGAGGGCTGAGTAAGAGCAAAAGAAGGTAGATTTTTGCCAACTAAAAAAATAAAATATAATTTTTAAAAAATTAAATTAAAATGACCCATTTGTGATGTGACAGTCATTTCTGAATCAGCAGGCCGTATACTGGCAGATCACTGACTTTTAAGAACAAAGAAAGACCAAGAGCAACGGCAAACTAAAAGAATAAAAGAGATGTATAAGTGAAACTGTTCTCATCGAATTCATTTAAACAACTGTGTGGACTCTAAAAAAAAACCAGTAAATAGATAAAAGAGGAAACGATGTCTATTATTATTATTAGACTATTATTAGTTCCTAAGAAAATTTCTTCCATGTCGGAAAAGAAACTTCCTCTCCCAATGGAAACAAGCAGCTGTTCCTCAACGTAGGAGTTTTAAAGAGTCACCTGGGGAAAGTGAACCAATGTAAAATCAGCTGTCACAATGAAGAGACTAAAGCAGCTGGAAAACGACCACCCAGAGCAGAGAGGTTCAGCATCCAAGGGCAAGCACAGTATGGGAGATGAGCTCGTTTGTCAAATCTTACAGTAAAGAATTCTGCCTAATAAAACAGTAAGAACATCGAGAAAATGCTGGAAGGGAAAGCTTAGTGAAATGCCCAATTAAGCAAAATCATCCCAAGAACATTTGAGGACAGAACTGGAAGAAATGCAAAAATGCAGAAGATTTGTGGCATTTTCTACAACAGCCTTTCCTCCTCCTTCCTGACTTCTCCACAGCCTGCAGATCGCCCTCTCCTCCCGCTCCTGTCTCTTCTCTGTTTGTTATTCTTCTTTATCCTGGCTCTGCTCCCACATCTCTGACTACTCCTTCTCTGGCTCCTTTGCTGGCTCTCAGGCCACACTGAGCCCACGAATGGCAGGTCTCCTTCAAGGCTCTGTCCAGGGTCCTCTTCTCTTCCCCCTCTACCCAGTTTCATGCATTGATCTCATCTGCTCCCATGGATTCCATTACCATCCCTCTGCTGATGATTCTCAGTTCTATTTCCCCAGCCCTCACCTCTCTGCTTACCTTCAGCCTTACATCGCCAGCTGCCTACCGGACACCTCTCTACGGATGTCCTATAATCATCTGAAACTCAACATGTCCAAAATGAACTCATTATCCTTCCCCCTCCACATGTCCCCACCGTCCTCCCAGTCAGTCGCCCAGGCTCACTCCCTCACTGTCACGGTGTCTCCTCCATAGCTCTCTGTCACCAGTGCCCCCAGAGCCAATCTATTGCTAAAACCTGTTGGTTTTACCTTTGTAACACCTCTTGCCTATGCTCCCTCCTCTCCTCTGGCACTGTCACTACCCTGCTTGAAGGCCCTCATCACCTCACACTGGACCCTGCAGTAGCCTGATGGTTTGTCTCCCTGCCTCAAGCCTCTCTCCACTGCAGCCCATTCTCTTCTCAACTGTTAAATTAATCTTCCCGAAGTATAGATCTGACCATGTCATATCCCTCTCCATTCAATAAACTCCAGTGGCTTGGGGCAGCTGGGTAGCTCAGTGGATAGAGCACCGGCCCTGGAGTCAGGAGGGCCTGAGTTCAAATTTGGCCTCAGACACATAACACTCACTAGCTATGTGACTCTGGGCAAGTCACTTAACCCCAATTGCCACACCAAAACAAACAAACCAACCCAAAACAAATAAACTCCAGCAGCTCCCTAATACCTCCAGGATCAAGTGTAAAATCCTCTGTTTGGCATTCATTCAAAGGCCTTCTACAAACTGTTTCACTCCTACCTTTCCAGTCTTCTTACACCTGACTTACCCTCCCCCACCCCCCACGTCCATCAATGGAGGCTGCAATAGTGATACTGGCATCCTTACTACTCCTCAAACAAGAAATCCCATCACTGGATTTGGGGCATTGATCCCCATGCCTAGAATACTCTCCCTCCTCATCTCTGCTTCCTGGCTTCCTTTAAATCCTAGCTAAAATCCCATTTCCTAAACCCCCTTAATGCTATTGCCTTCCCTCTGAGACATCTCAATTTATCCTGGACAAATCAAATCCTGTTTGTACACAGTTGTTTGCCTGAGGTCTTTCCCTGGAGATGTGAGCTCCTCGAGAGCTGGAACTGTCTCTTGCCTTTCTTTATATCCCCAGGGCTAAGTCTGCCACATGGCAGGCACTTAATAAATGTTTGATGATTGATTAAATGTTTATTTACGACAGACTGACTGACTCCATCAATGACAGTGGTGCCACCATATTTAGACTAAATTAGACACAGTCCTTGATATGCTCTACACGAGGAAGTAAAAATGGTATGAAAGAAAGCAAAGACGGGAACAGAAACTAGACTAGATCCACAGATGCAGAGAAAGTGAATGCTAGAGACAAAACAATTCTTAAGAAAACTTATGAATTAATTCTCAAAATATCTCAAAGAGGGGAGGATGCTAAATGTTCTGGGGGGAAAAATCAGACTTTATTACAAAAAAAAAAGGTAATCAAGGAAATACTGATAACTATGAGCCCAGGTATTTACTTTCCCATCTCTAAAACAAATTTTTATGTGAATAATCTACATGTTCACTTAAAACATCAGAGTACCCATAAAGGACTCACAGGTAGCATGGAAAACTGGGAAGAGCTCTGGTTTCAGAGTGAGAAGAAATGAGTTCTATCATGAATCTATTACTGACTCCCTTTGTGACCCAGGTCACAAGTCAGTTCACCTGCCAGGGCCCATTTCTTAATTTGTAAAAATAAGAGGGATGGACTGGAATAGAGGTGTCAAACATGTAAAAGGACCTGCAATGCTCCCGAGTGCCTCTTAACCAGGTTAAGATGTAATGGAGAAACAAATACTTGACGAAATAAATAAAGCTCAATAAAACATGGATAATGGTAAGATGCGGTTTTCTAAGTCAACATACAACCCACAGGGATCTTTATTTATGGCTCTGCTCCCATTTCTACCTGAG